AATATAAAATTTAGGTTTAAAGTTATTTTTCCCTTGATGAATTTAAAATACTATCCCAGTTATTCTCATTGCATACTACTGCTGACCAGTAGGATGTACGATTCCTCCTTACAAGATCTGCCTGTGTCTTGCTTTAAATCCTTTATTAGACTGTGGAGAACCCACAGGCAGAGACTGGCCCACAGGTCCCCTTCAGTATATAGCAGTTATTCAATAAATATCTGTTTCATTTTTCAGTATGTATCAATAACTGAATACTAAGTCTTGTGTCCTAGTTCATGTGCCTCTTCCTAACATAATTTTATTGAAAGTTTCATTAATTAGGGATGCAACAACATATTCATATATGCATGCATATGTATGGACAAGATAATTTAGAATTCAAGAGAAACTGTGTAGTAGAATGGCAGAAGGAATCTAAAATGTTTAGGATGAAAATATATAGGAGGAAAAAAATAGCCCACAATTAGTTAGGTGCCATAACATTTCCATCCTCTTATGGGTGTGTCTATCAAGGCTAAAGGTCAAAAGCTAATGGCTAAAACTTGAATAACAATTTGTAAATTAATGAACAAGGGCCCTTTTGCACAATGGGAGAGACTATCCGGGAACTGGCCCTGAACTGTGGTCACCAGTGCCTCTGTAGAGTGTGGCCTCAGAGCAAAGTGCATACTTCAACTCATGGGCAACGGCTTATAGGAGAGATTGTGTTGTTCATCTTTGTATCCTGACAGTTCCTGAAAATGTAAGGTCAAATGATACTTGTTAAGATCGGGGTCAATATTTAAATGGATGTTGACTCATTTAAAATAAGCCACCTTAGCAAGTCAGCCTCACACACAATTGCTCTTCACTACAAAGTGAAGGTAAAACTCTTTGATCTGGGATTAAATCCCTTCACAGCTCTCTTTACTTCCCTGGTTTCCTTTCCCATTCGTTTCCTTCAGCATCTTATCTGCCCTTCAGATTGAATTTCCTGGCTCCATAACACCTATCCCTCTACTTCTGACCACTTAAAATTCCCTGTGCCTTCTTCCTTGCATTGCAAGTTATGAACGACTTGCTTTCTTTACTAGGTTGTAAGTTCCTCATGTCAGAAACCATGCCTTTTATGTATACTACATTTTCATTGTCTAGCAGAGCCTGATATGTGATGAGTGCTAAGTGGTGAAGAAAGAAAAGAAAGTTTGTAGTAAGGAGCTGACACATAATGACCCATGAGGGTGAACTTTTGTAGGAAAGGGCTTCACAACCATTGACAGACATGGTCCAGTGGGAGAACATTAGAAGAGACAGAGTGTCAGGACCAGAGGCAGCACAATGAGGCCTTGAAAACAGTCTTCTTTTCAAGAGGAGATGCATTAGGAGAAACACCACCATGTGTAGCGTGACAGGGGCCTGAAGGGACAGACATATCCTTCAGTTCCAAAGAACAAAGGAAGTTTCTGATTCCTCTATTTTCAGGGGGTAGAGGTGTAGACAAGCTTCATGATCTAGGCTAGCCTACAAGTCAAGGGCACAGGGGCAGGACTACGTAGGACCACAAACTTATCCTGTAGCTGCAGGAGGGGGAGACTGCAAGGCCATAGCACAGCATCCTTGCTTACCAACTGTGCATTCCAGAGACAGAGAGAGAGCCACAGCGGGACTGGGCCGGGTTTCTAGGGGAGGGAGGGGCTGCTAGTCGGTCTGTGATGTAAGGGCATGTACTTAAAAACATGTTGAACGATTTACCCATGTATGAAAAATTCTAGTAAAGCCCAGAACTAGAAGCTGTCTTTTTATAAGCCACAGAAGAAAAATATTTTTCCTAATATACATTCTCTTTATTCCAGTGGTCTCAAAATATAAGAGGTCAGAAGAAATTCCTCAGAGATGTGTTAAAAATGTAAATTCTTAGTGTTAGCCTGTGACCTAGGGACTTGAAGAAAGTGAGAGGTCACCCACAAGGTCTAGTAAGAGGTGCCCCTCTCCTGACCTGATGATGATAAGAAAGAGGAAGGGGGAGCTGCGGGCAGAAAATAGCTGTGCGTCCCCAGCCAGAGGAGGCCTCTTCAAACCTGCCCTGCTGATGGTACCTCAGCTGCTTTTCTTCACATCTGCCATTCAGTTTTTGAAGCCATGGCAGTACTTAGTGTTTATCTGAAATTCTGTTCACTTAAATGTATAGAGAAAAAAATTCTTTTTCTTGGAATACTTTTAAGATATATACCATGCTTCAAAATGCACAATCCGTAGGTTAAACTAGAGACATTTTTGTCCAATAAAGCTCTTTGAAAAGAAAATGTTACCAAGCATTCGGTATTGAGAAAAGCAGACTCTGATACGAAGCGGCGAGGCTCTGAGGGAGTCATCTTGCTTGCTTTAGACTGTTTCAAACAGAGTACAGGAATTACAGGAAGGGAGACTTCAAGTGTTGGGGGAGACGAGTCATGCCTTTCAGAAGCTTGTCAAATGCCAGCATTCTAAATTTCATGCACTGAACTTAGGAGAGTCCGATATAGCACACAATATCTGTCACTTTCTATCCATTTGGCAAAGACTTCAGAGAGGCAAATGCTAGAGACTTGAAAATGGAGACTTCTGGAAAAATGACCAAAGCCAGAAATAAAGCTGTGCTAATTAGAAAACAAATAATTAAATGGCCAAACCCGAATGTTGTGTGATGCTGAAAAGACAAATTTCTAAAGCACGCCATCTGTTTTACAACTTTTTATTTTCCTCTACTACAGATCTACTCCATACTTTTTACAGTGATCTCGCTGCTAGGCCAGAAATAATTACAACATAGAATCCTAGAAGAGATCAAAATAGTTACAGAAGAGGGCAGATATACTACATTCCTGAGAGAAAGCTATGTTTTAGCCTTAAAGAAAAAGAATTGTTATTCAAAGAAATGGTTCAAAATTGTAAAAAGAAAATTAGAGATTTTTAAAACTGATACCACAATATATTTATGGCATCTAAACTTATCTGGGCCTCTTCTAGATGCTGTAGTGTTAAAAGCATGTTGTAAGGCCTCTTCTGTCTTTCCATGATTCTTAATTTATCTCTTAAGCCTGGTGGTTTTACATGGCATCTATGTACTCATGACTCTCCAGTTTATAATTCCAGTTTCAGACCTATATCTGCTTATCTATTTGACACATCTACTTTCCTATCACATGGCATTTTAAACTTACCACACCTAATTCAGAGCTTTTGACCCATGTCCTATAGGGAGAATCTACTTTTCCATAGCTGTCTGCATATCAATAAATGGAACCACTGTTCAACCAGTTGATGCAAAATCTAGATTTCATTCAGTATTTCTCCCATGTCTTTATTATTCATGCAATTCATCATCAAATTCTGTGGTTCCCATTTCCTCACCCCTCTGCCGTCTCTCTTCTTTTTCTCCAGTGCTCAAGATCAAACAAACCCGGGGCTTTGGCATGCTATACAAGTACCCTACTGCTGAGCTATATCCACAGCCCTTTCATTCACACTTCTAAATCCTGTATCTCACATGTGTTTTTCTTTGTTTCTGTTGTTACTATCATATCTAAACTGCCACCAGCTCTCAGAAATGATATCTCGCCGGGCAGTGGTGGCGCACGCCTTTAATCCCAGCACTTGGGAAGCAGAGGCAGGTGGATCTTTGTGAGTTCGAGGCCAGCCTGGTCTACAGAGAGATATTCAGGAAAGGCGTAAAGCTACACAGAGAAACCCTGTCTCGAAAAATCAAAAAAAAAAAAAAAAAAAAAAAAGAAAAGAAAAGAAATGATACCTCAATATTTACCAACTTCTTTTTCTCTAAGTCATTGCCCACATAATGCCTGGAATGGCTTTAAGAATATAAGTACACAAATAATTTTCATTTCAAATATAATTGTATTTGGGTCCTTGGTATCTAAAACAGTGTCTAGCTAAATATATATTTAATTTTTAGTGAATACTGTCAATAACGAGCTCATATAATGCTAGTAACTTCTAATATCAAGTCTTGGACTTTTCTTATGACCTCTATGGACCTAATGACAGTGAATTGTGCACTTATAAGAAATCATTCATTATTCAGTAATTCACTGTTTACTGAAAATTGTAATAACTAGGATTAGGCTTGCTTGTATATTCCAAAGTGCCCTAAAGATAGAAGAAATCTACTTTCTTGTAAAACAAAAAATTTCTGGAATGAATTGGCGTGGTGACTTTGTGAACTATAAGCCCTGGTGCCCTGTATTTTATTGTTGTTTATCAACCCCAGTTTGTAGTTCTGCTTTGTTGTCCAGCATGGCTACTCAATCACTAGTCATCGCATTCCAAGTCACCAGGAAAGAAGAAAGGCATGAAGAACACCATGCCTACTCCATTTAGGAGAAGACCACACACTTCCTTCACATCTCATTAGATGTCAATGGTGACTAACACAGAAAACTGGGGAATAAACACACACTTAACTAGATAGCAGTATTTCCAGCTAAAGATTGCCCAAGTTCCAGCTGTGACTGGGTCCTGTTCTGGCGTAGGAATGCAGAGGCCAAAGTGTCTGCACCAAGGTCTGAAGTCTAATGGTGGATAGCAACATGCAAATAAACAGACTAAATATTACAGTCTAGGTAACAAAGCATTTGGAAACATGTTTTCCAAGGTCCCCCCAAGACTCTCTGGACTCAAAGAGCTGAGTGAGCTATAACTGGTTCTAGAGCTTTACATCTGGAACCTGTCCGGACTGCCTCACTCTACATCGGTTTCATAAGACATTTCTCAGTTCCCTTCTCCTGGCCATGAAGCCTCTGTGACAAGAACAAAGATCATTTGAATGTCTATAAATGCATACAAGCAACTGTGGTGACAGTCATAACCATTTGGAACTGCCCATTTCAGAAATGTGTCAAGACTCCCTACTCCTTTTTAACTTGTCAGAAGATGGAACTAATTGACTATTTCAAGACTACAAGACCATGTAAAATGAGTGATGTCAGAAAAAAAGTTTTTTAAAAAGGAGTATCATAACTTACTGTCAACCATTGGTTATCTAGAAGTTCCTTAGCTGTGATTCTGTGAGCAGGATCTACTTTCATAAGTTGTTTCAAAACATTTTTTGCTGCAAATAAAGGGGAGAAAACTTTGAAATCTTATTTCTCATAACCTCAGTTAATGGCACACATTGGCTGCACACGATGGCACAGGCTGGTAGCCCCAGCTACTTGAGAGGCTGTGACAGGAGGGTTGTTCGAGTACACACATTTGAGACAGCCAAAAAATTGAGACAACTCAGAGAGAGACTCTACACCCCCCCCAAACCCACTAACAAAAACAAATCAAAACACAGATTACTCATTTCCCATTTATTTAGGCTATGGTTGCATAACACAAAGGACGCCAAGGATCATCAATACATAAGCCTAAAAAAAATTAGAAGTTGAATAACTTCTGTTGCTGGGTTACCCAGATTAATGATTTCTAGTGAAAGCTGGGCACACAACAGCAAGTTTCCACTTTAATTTTTTAATTGGTATTTTTTTGTTTTCTTTTGTTTCTGGAAGCATGGACCATGAACAATCACAGTGAAGGTATCACTATTTCCACGAGCAAATATCATTTAATTCTAAAGTAGATTTTATGATTAACCAGAGATTTACAAAGGTTTTATTAGCGGCCAATTTCCTTATATTAATTGTTTGCTTTAGTAAATAACAACAAATCCATACTCACCAGAATCACTTATGGAATCCCAGATTGGATGTTCAAATCGTAGCTCTCCCTTTTTTATTAATTCAAAGAGCTTTTCTTCCGAGCTTGCCAAAAAGGGTGGCTCTCCACACAGTCTAAACAAAGGCAGTCATTTGTTCAAATGTTTTCAACATAAGATCACTAAAGATTAACTTTCTGCGGGACTTGGAAGCAGGGATGCTTTGCAGGTAAGTAATGGACTGAAGAAGAGAACGTGCCTCTCTGGCTGGAGAGTGGAAGCCATAGGGCCGTCCAGCTCAGTGCTGGTCTCATCTCAGTGCATAGGTCAGTGCACTCAGACCTGCAAATGCCCCAGGCTTCTGTCGGGGGAGACACTAGGATTAAGGGTTACAGTGCAGGAAGGTGTGCGAGGGTTGAGTGCAGAGAGACAGTGGCATGAGCAAAGGGAGGTCGCCACTTAAAATCTATATTGTACACCGGATTATGGGAGCTCATAAAGGGTTATCAAAAACTGTCAACACTCATAAGAGTTTAATGTCCAGGCAAGAGTTTTGTCTGTGGTAAATAATATATCAACTGTTAGTAATGGTAACAATAAAATAAAATAAAACCAAAGAATAACCCTGGGAATTTCTGTAGGTTCTGAGCCAAAGCCAAAAGGGATTAAAACAGGCACAATTGTATCTTCCACAATAGTATTCAAAGGAAGGTCAGGAGGAAAATCATCAGTGAGAAAGGGCAGACACTGGGTAAACACACAGCCAACAGCAGTACAGACCAAGCACCACGGGTAAAGCAAGCATGGGCCTTCCTGCATCTAAAACACAAGGACTATTGTGTTGGCTTCTTTTTAGCAGAGCCTGGGGCAAGCCAACCAAGCTGAGTCATTAGCTGATCCAGGCCAGAACTATAACAGTATACTTCCGAGTTGAGTTCGGTGCCTCAGGTACATTCTCAGTAAATGTTAACATAGTCATCAACAACAACCCCAACATCTAAAGACAACCAGCAGGTATGTCCAGGGAGACCCAGGCAGAAGGTGACACTGCAAAGTCAGCTTGGCATGTCAATGCCTCAACTCTCAGGCATAGACCTTCCATCTTCACTAAAAACAAAATGGCATTATTCCATTATTACTTGCCAAGGTGCAGTCTGTACTCAGTATAATAAAGCCTAAGTCTTTCACATTTTATATTTTTTACTGACTTTCTTCAGTTATATTTTCGAAGTTTTATTTTAAAAATCCAATTGTGAACATTTTCTGACCAAGCTAAAATTTGGTATTTTATGACAATGACAATGAAAATGAAGGAACCAGCAGTCAAGGACACAGTCTGGAGCAGAGAGCTTCTCCTGCAAGAGCTTCTTGTTAGGGGATCAGGATTTGTCAAGCTGTCCTACAAATTCTTACTTTAATACGTTTTATTTCTCAAGCTCATTCTGACACTTCTTTCTTCTTACTTGGTTTACTATTGCTTAGTTTTAAAATGGAATTTTAAAAGCCATAGAACACAAAAAGGAAATAACCAGAAAAATGGTTGTATGGACACTTACTATCTATTATAACAAGTCCAGGCCAGCTAAGGCCCAGCTCATTGAGCCTGTTATCAAGCAGTGATATGCATGGCCCCCAATCTCTTAGCAGCCTCTGCAAGTGACTATAGCTTAAGGGCTACATTTTAAATTTTCCACTTTTTTCTGTCCTTTGCAATTTTATTTACGCAAAATGTATCTAATGGTTGGTCAATCAGCAGCATATGGAACTTTATGACAGCAATTTCCTAGCACGTCCAGAAAAGGGAATCCAAGACGTGAAAAATGCCTCTTAAAGCTTCCTATTGTTTTCTGCTGCGTTCATAGGAATCAGGACAGCAGAGGATAGGAACCATAGAGAGCATGTATTTATGCTAATTTCACCTTCCGAAAGTATGTTATCATTGTTCAATTAAGTAGAAAGGAATCTGAGTTAACTGATAAACAAGGAAGTAGCCCTCATGGAGAAGGTACTGTGCTCAGGGTGAAGAGAATTATTTCTAGTGCCACAAGGCTCAAACAGATTAATGGGTAGGCACTGGTGAGCTAAGTGAGAATCTTCTGTGAAGAAAGGAAGACGCCATTACAATGATGTGCAACCACACTCTGGAGCAGAAACATTCAAATTAGATACTTAAGAAAAAGGGAAAAAATGAAAGGTATGTAATACACTTGCTTTCCTTAACAGCAAATTCAAAGAGTAGCAAACACCATATGGATTGTGTAGATGATTCATTATGCAGATTAATATGGACTTTTTTTTTAATATGGACTTTTGAAGACAGTCTTAAGAGTATAAAAGATTTATTTAAATAGTTACATGTTAATTAAAGACTAAACTCAGGATTTCTGCCCCATGATTCTAATCGGCACAAAGCTTTATGAATCCATTCACACTTTACGCTGTCTAAGCAATGACGCATGTGGACCAACCCAGTTACAGCCACAGTCACATCATCTGGCTCCTGCTGCCTGTGTATCCCATTTCACACAACTGTGAAGATGGAACTACAGTGATGTTAGTATTTAGACACGATATGGAAGAGGTAGTGCACAGCAAAATCTCCAACATGACCATAAAACTAATGTTGCATTGACATTAAAGTATTCAGAGTCACCCAAAGACACAACAATGGTCACTAACTTTTCAGAACACCTCTTAAAAATCCACTTAATTCAATTTAACAAGTGAATTGAGTACTGAACATGGGCTGACTGTTGTATCAGATGCCAGGGATGCAAAGATGAATAATTTGAACTGTCTTTCACAGAACTTAAAACAAAGAAAATAGATATGATAAATAGAATATTGTAATATTACCATGTAATTTGGTTTTTAAAAGTGTTATTATTCACCGGGAGGTTGAGGTGCACACCTTTAGTCCCAGCACTTGGGAGGCAGAGGCAGGTGGATCTCCGTGAGTTCAAGGCCAGCCTGGTCTACAAAGTGAGTTTCAGGACAGCCAGGGCTGTTACACAAAGAAACCCTGTCTCAAAAAACCAAAAGAAAAAAAAGTGTTATTGTTCATACATCACAGTGAGTGCTATCAAAGGTACACATGTACAAATAAAACTTACTGCTTAAATATTTCTATATTAGTACTGTTATTGTCATATTGAGACAGTCTCATGTGGCCTGGAGCAGACTATGTAGCCAAGGGTGACCTTTAAGATCTGATCCTCTGCCTCCATTTCCCTAGTGCTGAAGCTGTAGGCATGAACCACCACACCTGGTATATGCAGTGCTGGGGATCAAACCAGCAACTCTGTGTGCTGGGTAGGCATTTTACCAACTAACATCCCAGCCATATTGTTTTTATTTGAGTGTTATATTTTGTATGATTTTTAAAAAAATGTTGCCTTAAATCCTCTGTTAAATGAAGAAAAAGTTTATACATAATAAATATATATTTTCTGTGGTAAGGTAAGAGTTAGGAAAACAGAAAGCTTTAGTATTTGGCCAACCTATGAGAAAAGTTCACAGAGAAAAAAAAAAAGTAAGCACTCATGGCACACACATTTGCGCATGCACACATAAATCATACATGCAACATGCAATGAAGAACGTGAGTAATAAAGAGTAGCCTAGAGTCATCACAGAGAAAGGCAGGTACAGGAAAATACATAGGCAGCCCAAGCCTGGAAAAGAGAGCTAGGGTGAGGTTGTGAACGGTCTGCTAAGTCACACTGTATCAGATGGATCTAGAGGGCTTTAGTCCAGAAGGAGTATGATGCAGACAAATAATCCATGAGCAGTGTAAATAGCAGATGAAGTGGAGGATGAACAGAAGCAGGAAGACAACCAGAAAGATCCTGAAATGACAAGGCCAAAGAGAGAAGACTAGGTTCTCACCAGGAATAGGTGAGAACACTTCACAGGTAAATGTTCCAGGATTTAGGATTTGATTGAATCATGAGAGCAAGAGGGAAGGAAGAGCAAGAATTCCTGAGGCTTTCACAGTGCCCAGGGAACTGGGAAATACAAAACACTCTCTAAATCCTGAAGCAACCTTGACCTAACCGTGCCTGTACATGTGGGCAGCTCTAAGGCTAGGTGGCCCTACTTCCCTATTCCTGATGGGTTACAGGTGAAGCTCTAAGCTGCAGCAGGGGATCAGGAAGGACAGATTTCCACTTAGCTTGGATTATGTGGGACACTCTTGCATTTGTAGATCAGTGCAAAGCAAAACTGAACGTTGTGAATGTATAGCATTCAATAAATACTTAGGAGGTGATCCTGAAAACTAGTGAGAAAGCACTCAGGGCAGCATCCTGATTTGGATTTTAAATGACACCTTTAAAGGTGGGCTGGGGGGAAGGCAAGGGGGGCCGGAGGGGGGAGAACAAGAGAATCCGTGGCTGATATGTAGAACTGAATTGTATTGCAAAATAAAAATTAAAAAAAAAAACAAAAAAAAATACATTGTTTAGTTTTAATTTAAAATCTATGTCAATCTACATCAGAGACTTCCCTTTTGTTTACCCAGGACATTCCATCGGCTACTTACAAAAGGTACATTATGACACCTATGCTCCAAATGTCGCACTGCTGGCTGTACTCATGGGCATTGATAACCTCTGGGGCTGCCAAGTAAGCAGAAATAAAATAATATTAATAATACAATAAATGACTTTTAATTGCTTAAATACAAAGCATGAAATACGTGCTGATGTGTTGTAATTTATTCCTCCAGAGGGGAAAAAAGGAGCCAACAGCAGATGCTGAATGAATAATGTACAGGCCTTCCAACTGATGTCACCAAATTCTCCCTCCTATCAATTAGCTCCTAATGGGACAATGGCATAAACTGTGTGACTAAATGTGCAGTTCTTTATTCCTGTGAAATGATTAAGTGATTTTACAAAGGTTGTGTAGCTGGGAGACAAAAATATCTTAGACTTTCCCCCAAATAGAAGGAAACACACAACTTAAGTAAATATTATTTAAATCAAGGCCAATATTTACAAATCTGAATTCACAGAAAAGCTAATATTGTGGTTATGAATCACTTCAGTAGAATAATGATAATAATAATTATAATATCATAGCACTATTATGACAGAATATATATTATTTCCCACATTTTCTAGGTAAGAAAACTGAGATAGAAAGCATGCTCACATCAGACTGGGTCAAAACATCAATGAGTCCCAGTGCAGGATGAGGTTCCAAGTTTGTGTGACTCAATTCGGTGCTCTCTGATTGTCACAACAGGGTCCCTTCAAACAGCCTCTCAAAGCAGCACTGTGCCTTTAACCTTAAGCTGGCACACGCTTTAAAGATGAGGTTTTAGGGTTTTGCTTTATAGTGGCTGGCTTTTTAAAAAGCCAATATGATACTGAGGAATAGATCTACTTTACTTTTACAAATGGATATCTTTCTTTAAAGAAAAAGAAAACACAGTCACAAATACAAAAAATAAGATACATGTATAGATTTCAAAAGAACATTAAAATTTACTAAGTATTTTTGCATAATAAATTGTGTTCAGAATCCTATGAGCCAGTCCTGCAGGTCTGATGCCCTCTGTAATGAAGGTGGAAAACGTGGAGACCTGACTGCAGTTGCACACTCTGAAATGTTTCCTATAGGAAAGTTGTATGCTTACTGAGAAAGCGCTCCCAGTCTCCTCCACTAACACACTGTCCATTTGCATGTATGCCCTCACAGGTGAGTGCACACACTTGAGCACACACACTCTTTCATAACAACTACTAAAAACAAAGGGAATTTTGTTTTCCCCACTCTCTAAAGGAATGGAAAAACAACCAAAAGAAGCCAAAAGATACACAGGAGAATGAGAAAAGGCTAAGCTATAACGCTTCACAAATTGAATAATCTGTCTCCAAATGATTGAAAATTGACAGGATTCCTCTTTTTGCAATTATTGTGTGTGCTTGCAGTCTTTAACTGCATGCAAAACTTTAAATACAGAACCAGCAAAGTGCAAGTTGTTCCATGGAACGGTCTGTCATGAAGGCGAATTCCGAGGTGAGATTCGGTGAGGGCTGCCTTCCTGCTGCACCGCACACGCAGCAGGGACCAGGACTCCTGGCCTCCACTTTTCTGAGTCTTCCTAATTATCAGGGGCATTTCTACTTGCACTGTCATCCCAGCCCTCAGGGAGGCAGAAGCCAGAATATCTGTGCCAAGGAGCCATTTAGGAAGTCAGCAAAGCTCCGCAAACCATCTGTCTTCCCTCTTGTTCTCTCACTTGTTATCAGTGTAGACAACTAATAAGCAGGCATAAAACTCAGGGTGCCTGGATATATTTTCCCCATGTAACTACAGACCAGATGTCTTTTGCCAATGGGAGGATATGAACAGAATCTAAAGTAGCCTTTTCCCAAGTAAGATAAAACAATTTAAAAACTTTATGCATCAAGTAGGCAAAAAAAAAAAAAAGCAATGAACGAAGTAAACTTTTCAGCAATAAAAACAGATAAACCACTGATACAACAAGAAGCATAAAATAGCAAAATCGTCCTGCGGAACAGAAGACACACGCGCACACACTGTATGACTCAAGCACAGTTGAGTTTGGTGATGGAAAGCACTGGGAATTACTGGGACATGAGGGGGAGATGGTGGAGACAGACAGGGTAATAAGTGCTGTGGATTCATTGGCATGTGATTATCTAAATATGTAGCCTATGGCAATCCTGCCTCAGCCTCCTGAATGCTGAGCTTACAGGTTTGGGCTACCACACCTTCAGGTGTTCTAACATTGTCAAGTCTTCTCACTTACCCATATAGATAGGAGTGCCACACGTGGTCTGCATCATGCTTTCACTCCTGGAGCCATGCTTCCTAACTGCCAAGCCGAAGTCAGTCACCTGAGAGCAGACACACAGGCTCAGTCACCCAGTGCCTTCCACCCACTGGAACTGCATTTAATCCTTACTTCACAGGGATGGGCTTTTCCTTGGATTACTAACAAAGATGGACTTTCCCTCTCCCCCTACCCTCTCTCGGTGCAGAAAAACTCTGTAGAGAGAATCCAGGATGTTGACTGTTCATGCCTTTTGTTAATTCTTCTTGGTAAACTTTTTATAAGTTCTTTCACTGCAAACTACAGCCTAGCCTTGGAATATGTTATCTATTTTTCTGATACTGGAGCTGTGGTCCAGTGAAGGCACTGTTTAAGTAAAAATAGTTACCCTTAGATGGGCGGTGGTGGCACATGCCTTTAATCCCAGCACTGGGGAGGCAGAGGCAGGTGATGTCTGTGAGTTCAAGGCCAGCCTAGGATACAGAGTGAGTTCCAGGAAAGGTCCCAAAAGCTACACAGAGAAACCTTATCTCAAAAAACAAACAAAAAAAAATAGTTATCCTTATCAACACTTACTAAGACTCTTTTTTAACATGTATAACTAGTAAAGACTTGTTTTTCATTACTATTATTTCCTTTGTGAGTATCAAGTATGCTAATTAAAACAATTGCTACACTATTTAAAATGAAGCAAATTAACAAGGAGAAAAAGGCCCACTCCACCATGGCCTGGTCACAGATGGCCTGAAGGCCTTTTGAGGCAGCTTTAGTCTCCTGCTCCATTCTAAAGCTTGGTAATTACACCTTGAGTTACTAAATATTTGGTATGTACCCTTCCTTGGTTGTCTCTCAAAATGGAATGTCCTTGGACCCAAAGCAGAAACAAAGGCAAATTTATGGATCATACAAGCAAAGCATAGGTTCTTTACTCACATTAAATGCAAAATTGGCAGTACCTTATAAAGTATAAGGAAATGTTCTTAATTAATATGTGACATTATCAAACCCATCTTTTTTTTTCTTTAAGACAGGGTCTCACTCTGCAGCCCAGGCCAACCTAAAACTCATTATGTAGCCTGGCTTGCCTTAAACTCATGGCAATCCTTCTGTTTCAGCCTCTCCTGTGCTGGGAATACAAGTGTACATCAACATGCCTTGAATCAATTAAATTACCCCAGGAGTTTCCATAAATATCCCACTTGAAGCATAATATCTATCTTTCTCCATACAGCATCTCTACAGATACAAAGCATATTAAAGCCTTCATGATCCAGTTCCATTATTTGGAGAGCACTGAGTCTCTTGTTTACCAAAGATTAACTGAACATATTCTGTTGCAGATACTCCTCCACATTCCAACAAAGAATAAAATGCCTAAAGTTCCTGACTTTATAGTGGACTATGAAGAACATTCACTGAAGGGTATCAGTAGTGTTGCTGAGTCTGTTTCTGCTGCATATGGTTTAGCTTCTGCAACAGCAGCTCACAGACACATTTGCTTCTAAAGTTAACACTTGCACACATTTTGAAGGCAGCCACTATTAAAGTGCTAAGTAATAAATAATGTATTCTATCATTTATTTGACATTAAGGAACACTTAATTTGAATAAAATCTTCAAGAATAAACACTTGGCACATTAATTGTGGTTAAGACATAAATATTAATATCCAGGAAAAATTTCAATGAGAAATACAGACTGTAGCATTAATTTAGTATCAAAAGCACAGCCAAGGTGTGTTTTTCTCTAAATCTGTAACACATTTACATCAAATTACCAGACATAATTTTGAAATTAATTAGAATTCAGAGCATCTGTTTGCTTGCTATTAACTAATGATTTAGAACTATCCAAAAGAATATGCACTTTGAAAAACACATTCAGTAGCATCACTTAGCTTGTAAAATTATTTTTATCTTTAGAACTTCTTTTGTGAATTTTTTACTTCTTAGCACAAATGGCTTAGACTCAAAAGTCACCAAAATGTGTCTAAGATGTCTGTAGCTACTTTGCTGCTGGTTGTTTTCAGGCAAATATTGAGTAGTATTTCTAGGCTCTTACCTTTATGTTTAAGTTCATCTCATTGTTATCATCCATGAAGCTGCTTTTAACCATTATGTTTTCCAGCTTTAGATCTCTGTGCACTATATCTACCAGGAAAATAGACAGGCAAAGTGAGTAACAGAAGGACAGAGAGGACAGAAGCAGGACAGATAAATAAAGTATGAGGGAAGGCTGAGTGCAATTCTGTCCTGTTCTGTTTTTCCTTATACCCCTCTTCTCCACATCTCTACCAGAAGCCATTTTCTCATCTCTGCACGCTCCCTGTTGTGACAGCCTAGCCTCTCAGCCTGGTGAGTGTGGAAGGGGAGCTGTCTGAGGCTACACATTTCCAGGAGAACGAAGGCAGCCTGGGTCACAATACAGGCCAGGTAAGGTTTTCTGTATCCTTGGGTCTCTAAATAGGGGATTGTGCCTCTGTATAATGTTACTGTCAACACAAACATTTTAACACATTGTAACTTGGCTACATGTGCATAAACTGTATCTCAGTGTATTTTTCTAAAATATCAGCATATATTTCACACTGTTCATATGTTGAAATAAAAAAAACCCCACATATCTTGTGACACAAACCTCCAGTTGAACAGGTCAGAGTTGAGGTGAGATTTCTGTGTGCATTCAAATTCAAATAATGTATCAAACACTCCTCCACAAATAACTGACTGACTCACATCCACAGCAAACACTTCTTAAGCTGTGGGCATCTAAGTGTGTAACGTCTAGGGAAATGAAGCTGAGGTAGACCTGGACTGGCAGTGTAGCTAATCACAGTTCTCATATATCCCCCAGGCATTTTCTTTGGACTTATTACTGATTCTGGTACTCCACCTGACTCTACTTACATAAATACCATACCATTTCAATTAACATATTTTTGTGATGTTCTTATCCTTGGCAGGGGCAAATCTCCCTAATACCCCACATTTTTATCTTAGTTATTCTCGTCATTTGTAGAATAATTTTTAAAACCTCACCCCTCAAAAGTGATGTTTTTATAGAAATATACTGAAAACAAATGTCTCCCTAGATAAGAGAGAACTGACCCAGGCGTGGCCTTCAGCCTCTGCAAGCCTTTCCTCACCTGAACCATTCTCCGGTCCCAGCCTGCATTCCTCAGATCTAATTCTGACACACGCTTGAGCTCCCTGCACTTCACATAGCTCTCCAGTAAGAAATTGCCACACTGGATTACAAGCTGTTTCCTGTACTCCTTCTCCTACTAGCCTAAGCTACTTGAGGGGCAGAGGCCTTAATTTTTCATCTTTATAACTCTGGGGCTGAGCACAATACAGTAGATGCTGAGGAAACTGAGATCCCAAAGCCTGTCACTGACCTTTGTGGAACAAGTATTTTCTCATCTGTAAAATGAGAATTTCTAAAGTCACACCTAAGAACCTCAAGGAAAAGGGGAGCATGGGACAAAGTGGCAGCAGTAACACTGGAGTCAGTAAAGCTTTAGAATAAGTAGAGTTCCTTTTAAATGTAGGTTGGCAAATTACTCCAAATGATACCTTAGTGGATAATGTTACTATACATTTGTCAAAACCAACAGAATAAAAAATACCAATAATGAATCCTAATGTAAACTGCAGGTTTTAGGCGACCATAATGTGAGTCACTCTGCACATATGGCACCAGGGTGGACACTGGAAACTTCTGTTCCTTCTCTTTTGAACCCAAACTGCTCTAAAACTGAAGTATATTATTTTACAAGGCTGGAACAGGTACATTTTTAATAATATTAATATAAAAATATTTTAGGAAAATTCACTTTATCTACTTTGATTTTGACCATATTAGCCACATTTTAAACTTCTAGAATAAGAATGATCATGACTGTCTGCTCTTCCATATACAGTGTAATTATATGCCTACATTGTTACTAATTAAAATGTCTATAAATACAACTAAAAGGAAAAATATGGAAAATGTACTTGTTATTCACTTACATTACCAAGTTCTACCAATGTGATTATGAGTCCTAAAGACCATCCCACTTAAACAAACAACAGTGACATCTTCATTTATGGAGATGGTGAGGCTTACAGTCCTCTTCTTACCGTTGTCATGAAGATAGGCAATGGCTGATGCAAGACGTTGAATTATCAACCTGGTCTCATTCTCTGAGAAGTACCCTTTTTTATCCAGGACTTCTTTGAGTTCTCCATCCTCACAAAGTTCCATCACAAGGTACATTTTCTGACATTACAGATTTAAAAGTCAGAATAAGAGAAAGTTATGAAGTTTTATATGTGTGTGTATGTGTGTGTGTGTTATATCACAAGTATGATCACAAGCTTAATTTATTCATGTGAAACTGTTCTACATATCATATACAAGCTATTATACTGAATACAAGAGGAACAAAGGAGCAAGAGACATGGTGCTGACTTCAGGAAGTTCAGTAGAGTTACAGTATCATGTGATATATACTAACAGCCCAACATGCCATGGGGCTGTGGAAGAGAGGCTGCCTCTGCATAAAGAATGCTCATCAAGGAGAGTTCAGACTGAAGGTGTGAGCAGTGATTTCTCGGCAGGGAAGGTGGAGGAAAACCAGGCAGAGCTGGTGGCCAGTGCACAAAGCCCCTAAAGCCTGGAACAAAGCACTTATTAAAATAACACGTAAATCGCTGTTAACAGTAATGGAGACTGTTGGGTAGAGAAGAAGATGGTGAAGGGCGAAGCTAACAGGAAAGATTGGAACAAGTTTCTAAAGAGCCTTGGATAGCATGCTCAAGACTATGGATTCCCATGCCCCATATGAAACAAGGCATTGGAGGTGTTTAAGTCAGAGTCTTGAGGTAAAAGCTGTATGATGTCAATTTTGCATTTCTAGGTCAACACTACAACAGTAATGTACAGCAGGGCACAGCAAAATTTTTCTATAAAGACCAAACCCAATAGTAAACATTATGGTCTCTGTGGACAACATGGCACAGCTCAGCAGCTGCCTTGAGATCAGCCATGAACAACACAATGCTGTATTTATAGACTCAGAAATCTGAGTTTGGTGTGATTTTAAGATTATGAAACATTACTCTTTTACATTTGGTCATTTATTTGGAAATATAGAGAACTTATGGACCCTATAGAAGCAGGCAGCAGGCCAGACTGACTTCATAGGCTACCTGTGTTAACAGGGGGACCTGTAGAGCATGGGCTGAACACAAGAAAGAAGGTGGTTTCTTAGTTTTCCTGTTGGGATAAACTATACTGACAAGGTTAACTTAAAGGAGAAAGGGTGTGTTCCAGCTCACAGTTCAAGGTACAGTTTATTATGATGGGAAAGCCACTGGCCTCAGCAGAAGCATGAGGTGGCTGACCACACTGCATCTGGTCAGGAAGCAGAGAACAGTGAGTGCTGGTGCTCAGTTTACTTTCTCCTTTTTAAAAACTACTTTAAATTTTTTAAATTGATTTAATTGTGTGTGTGTTCCTGTATGCACTAGCATACCTATAGAGAGAGATCAAGGCACATGAGTTGGTTTTCCTCTACCATGTAGATCCAACTCATGTCAATAGACTTGGAAGCAAGCACCATAGCCCACTGAACATTCTCAATAGCTCCCACTTTCTCCTTTTTATTTGGTCTGGTACTCCAATATTTTCCTTAGGCACTGCCATAGACATAATTACCCTCCATGTTTCCATTCTAACATATATTCTCGAGTTTTGTTGTTCTGAAGACTTGGGGGTCGGATTCTGTTCTTGTAACAGCTGCTAATCCAACTTCTATATTCAGTCAGTATGTTTAAAGCAGGGAGAGAGGTACGTATCTTTCTTCCTAGAGCCACGATTCTGATTCACTGAATTTCAGGATGCTTTAGGATTTTAAAGTATCTGAAACATCTGACAAATAAACTTTTAAACTGGGCCATACTTTACTGACAGTGCGATAGGATGGCTAGGAACATGGAGTGGAAAGTGAACTATTTGGAAGGGAAAGTTGCATTAGCAGTAGTTACAATATAAATTGACACCAATTTCTAAATGCATGAAGGGCTGGACAGATAGCTGTTGTTAAAAGCACTGGCTACCACAAATAACATAAAATACCTTGGGGTAACTCTAACCAAGCAAGTGAAAGACCTGTATGACAAGAACTTTAAGTCTCTGAAGAAAGAATTTGAAGAAGATATCAGAAAATGGAAAGATCTCTCATGCTCTTAGATATGCAGGATCAACATGGTAAAAATGGCAATCCTATCAAAAGCAATCTACAGATTCAATGCAATCCCCATCAAAATCCCAACACAATTCTTCACAGACCTTGAAAGAACAATACTCAACTTCATATGGAAAAATAAAAAACCCAGGATAGTCAAAACAATCCTATACAATAAAGGAACTTCCAGAGGTATCACCATCCCTGACTTCAAGATCTACTACAGAGTGGAAGTAATAAAAAAACCCAGCTTGGTATTGGCATAAAAACAGACAGGTGGATTGATGAATCAAATTGAACAACTTGACATTAATCCATACAACTATGAACACCTGATTTTTGACAAAGAAGCCAAAATTGTACAATGGAAGAAAGAAAACATCTTCAACAAATGGTGCTGGCATAACTGGATCTCAATAGGTAGAAAAATGCAAGTAGATCCATATCTATCACCACCACAAAACTCAAGTCCAAATGGATCAAAGACCTCACATAAATCCAGTTACACTAAACCTGATAGAAAAGAAAGTGGGAAGTAGCCTTGAACACATTAGCACAGGAGACCACTTCCTAAATATAACACCAGTAGCACAGACACTGAGAGCAACAATTAATAAATGGGACCTCCTGAAACTGAGAAGCTTCTGTAAGGCAAAGGACATGGTCAATAAGACAAAATGACAGCCAACAGAATTGGAAATGATCTCTACCAACCCCACATCTGACAGAGGCTGATCTCCAAAATATATAAAGAACTCAAGAAACTATACATCAAAATACTAAATAACCAAATTAAAAAATTGAGTACAGATCTAAACAGAGAATTCTCAACAGAAGAATCTCAAATGGCTGAAAGACATTTAAGGAATTGCTCAACATCCTTAGTCATCAGGGAAATGCAAATCAAAAGGACTCTGAGATACCATCTTACACCTGTCAGAAGATTAAGAACACTAATGACAGCTTATGTTGGAGAGGATGTGGAGTAAGGGGAGCACTCCTCCACTGCTGGTGGGAGTGCAAACTTGTACAGCCAGTCTGAAATCAGTATGGTGGTTTATCAGAAAATTGGGAATAAACTTACCTCAAGACCCAGCAGTACCACTTTGGGACATATATCCAAAAGATGCTCAATCATATCACAAGGACACTTGCTCAACTATGTTCATAGCAGCATTATTCATAATAGCCAGAACCTGGAAACAACCTAGATGCTCCTCAACCAAAAAAATGGATAAATAAAATGTGGTACATTTACACAATGGAGTATTACTCAGTAGTTAAAAAAAATGGCATCATAAAATTTGTAGGCAGATGGATGGAACTAGAAAAAAATCATCCTGAGTGAAGTAACCTAGACCCAGAAAGACAAACATGGTATGTACTCACTCATGTGGATATTAGATGCAAAGCAAAGGATAACCAGGATACAATCCACAACCCCAGAGAAGCTAGGTTAAAAAGGAGGACCCTAAGAGGGACATGCATGGAGGGCCCCAGGAAGGGGAAATAGTATCTTCTGGGTAAACTTGGAGGGGAGGTAGAAGGGAGGGGATGGGGGCAGAGAACATGAGGGACATAGTGGAAGAGCAATGAAAGAGATACCATGATAGAGGGAGACATCATGGGGATAGGGAGAAACCTGGTGCTAGGGAAATTTCCAAGATTCCACAAGGATGGCCCCAGTTAAGGCTCCTAGCAAGAGTGGAGAGGGTGCCTGAACTGGCCTTCCCCTGTAATCAGATTCGTGACTACCCTAATTGTCATCATAGAACCTACATCTAGTAACTGATAGAAGCAGATGCAGTGATCCACAGCCATGCACTGGGCTGAACTGGAGAGCCGATGAAGAGACAGGGGAGGGATCATATGAACAAGGAGGGGGGTGTCAAGATCATGATGGGGAAAACCACAGAGACAGCTGACCCAAGTTAGTAGGAGCTCACAGACTCTGGACTGACAGTTGGGGAACCTGCATGAGACCGAAGCAGGCCCTCTAAATGTGGGTGACAGTTGTGAGGCTTGATCTGTGTTGCAGGGCTCCTGGCAGTGGGACCAGGACTTATCCCAGATGTATGAACTGGAGTCCATTACCTATGATGAGACATTTTGTCCAGCCTTAATACAGCAAGGAGGGGCTAGGCCCTCACTCAACTTGATATGCCAGACTTTGCTGACTCCCCAAGGGAGGCCTTACCCTCTCTGAGGAGTGGATGGGGCAGGGGGTGGGATGGGAGAGGTAAAGAGGTGGGAGAAGGGGAGGGGAGGGAAACTGGGGATGGTATGTAAAATGAAAAGAAAAAAATTTTAAAGAAAAGAAAAAGAGCACTGGCTACTTTTCCAGAAGACAGGTTCCATTCCCAGCACCCACATGACAGCTCACAGGCATCTGTAACTCCAGTTCCAGGGGAATCCATCACCCTCTTCTGGCCTCTGAGGGTGCTGCATGTGTGTGGTACACAGACACACAAAATAAAAATAAGTCTTTTTTAAAACGTTAAATGCATGTTGATCAAAGTTTTAGTGTTAAAGTGTATTATTCAAGTCTTTTACAATAGTAGAAACAATTGTGTATATCTAGAGCATACGTAGACTTACAAGAAACCACTACACAGTCTGAGTGGTTGATGAGCAGTATACAACCAATTATACATCCATTTCCTTAGAATAGCTTCAACTGAAAATTGAAGCATTCAATGGAAAGTCTAGACATGTGCGTTTATTGGTAGATCTAGTACACGTGAACCAAAATCAAACAACACAGAAATGGACAACCATAGATGACCATTTTCCTTGCCTTCAAACTCTTGTAGATTTGGGCTTCTACACATGATAATGTAATAGACTAGTTTGCCCCTCTGCTTAAATAAGTTAAGAACTGGAAAGACATTAGTCAGCATAGAGAACAGTATTCTATGAGAGAGAGAAGGCCATGAGGCAAGCCCCATGATTGTCCTAACCTCTGAAGAGTTGCCGCACCTCAGGGCAAGCAGGAGTTTCAATAAGAGATGATGAGAAGAGAAGGGCATCTATGGAATTAGGTAGCATCATAAGCCTGCAAAGAACAGCAGCAGTGATGGGAGGGGAGGAAGCTGCTGGAAACTGCCAAGGCCAAGTGTGCAGCCTACAGAAGTACACCTTGGAGAACTTTCAGGTACAGTGACCTCCATGAATTCAGGAGATGCGAGTCCAGAAAAGCCAAGACAATTCAAGTTTCCAGGGAAGAATATCAAAGAGGGAAAATATGTACACAAATACCCCCCCACACACACACACAAACACAAGGGGGGGGGAATCTTCCTCAAATCTTCAGCAGAATGTTAATCAGTCTGTACTTTGTCCCAAAGCTGGGAACTAACCATGTGAAAGGCCAGAGGGGACAGTCATTGGTGCTTATGCATGGCAGAAATACTGTGTTTCCATTAGCCAGAGAGAGAAATCTCATAATTCATGTAGCATTGGAGAGAGTATGAGTATTCAGAAGGCCGCACCTCAGTAGAAGGGTAAATCTAGTCCTATAGAGGATAATCTGTTGTCCCTCACAAAGGATAAATCAAGCACCAAAGGCATTGAACTGTCTCCAAATTACTTACTATGTCATAAAATAAAGTTCAAGAATCATTACTAGGCCAGATGTGTTGGCACATGCCTGTAATCCCAGCCATTGGAAGCTGAGGCAGAAAGTTCACTAATTTCAGGGTTATCTAGTGAGACCATATCATCTCTCCTCAAAATAGTAGTAAGAATATAAAAAATCTAGCACCGCAAATGGTAATTTTTACAATGTCTGGCAGCCAATTAAAATTAACTGGCAGCCAGGCTTGAGAGTGCACACCTGAAATTCTAGCACTCAAGCACAGGAGTAGGAAGTTCACAAGTTCCAGGCCAGCCTTGGCTATGCAGGAACTTCCAGACCATCTGCCCTACACAGTAAGACCTCGTATTAAAAGACAAAATTAGGTAAATAAATATGAAAGTAACAGATATGCATAGTAAGAAAATATAACCCAGAACAAAGGAGGAAAGGCCTATCAAAACTGAATTAACAATGACATACATAATACAATTAGTAGGAAAAGGACTTTAGTTCCTATCATCATATTCATGAAGTGGGGAGACACTGAGTATGTTAACATCATATGTTGACTATACACATGAAGGAAATCGAATTTCCACTGGACAAGATGATAAAACATTAGCTATTATAAAAAATTAGTGAATTTGACGTTATGGTAAAATACAAATTACACAGATTGAACACAGAAAAATGCTGGAAGATGAGCAGAATAGCAGTGTATTGTGAGCAATATCAGGTAATCCAGTATATGTACCAAGTCTTCCAGAGTAGGGCAAGGAAACAGAAAAAAATACTTGACAAAATAATTACTAAAATTATCCTATATCAGATGAAAATTTAACTCACAGACCCAAGAAGTTCCATGAACCCCAAGCAAAAGAAACTTGAAGAGAACTTTATCAAGATTCATTGAAATCAAACTGCCTAAAACTGATGATAAAGAGGCTGGAAAGATGGTTCTGTGGTTAAGAGCGTTTGTTACTATTGCAGAAGACTGGCTTCAGTTCCTAGCACCCACTTGGTGGCTCACAACTGTCTTCTCCAGATCCAGACAATCTGTAGTCCTCTTCTGACCTCCTTGAGCACAAGGCATGCAAAAGGAACACAGACATACATGCAGGCAAAACATTCACACACAAATAAAGTTTTTAAAACTGATGACAAAGAACAAAGTTATTCAAAGAATATTTGGGGATAAAAGAAATCACAATTCAGGGATGGAGGTATAGCTCAGTGGTAGAAGTAGGACAAGGCTTAACATGCACAAGGCCAGGGGTCTGACTTTCAGGATCACCAAAAAGAAAAAAGGACAACTGTGGTCCTGTTGCCAAGCACTTTCAGTTAATACAGTGTAATGCACAACCCAAATTGACTATTAGTAGCTACTTGCAAGTCTGGCAGAGAAAATGAAGAACAATAGCTAACATCTGATGAGACGGATGCATTATACCCATGCTCCCATTAATCTTTAATCCTTCAACAACCAGATGAGTCAGCACTTCACAGGTGAGACACACACACAGAGAAGTTGAATAACTTGGCCATATTCTCACAGCTAAAAAGTGGTGGAACCAGGATGTGAAGAAACAGACCATCTGTCCACCTGCCTAACCACATAGTGTGCTGCTTCCAGGCAGTGCAAGTGATGCCCAAGTTGACCAGGGGAAAAACGCCTACCGCTAAGATTAGAGAACAATGATATCTGGGACAGAAGGGAGACAAAGCACGGTGGAAAGACGGAGATAAGAACTTGTTATGCCCTGTTCAGCTGATATCCCTGGGAGGCCTGCTCTCTTCTGAAGGGAATGGAGGAGGAGTAGATCTGGGGGAGAGGGACCCAGCAACTGAGAGGAGTCGGGGGAGGGGAAACTGCAGTTGGGATGTAATGTATGAGAGAAGAATTTTTTATTGTATTATTTGTATTTTATGATTTAATTTAATTTTACATATCAGCCACGGATTCCCCTGTCCTCCCTCCTTCCGCCCCCGCCCTCCCCCCAGCCCACCCCCCATTCCCATCTCCTCCAGGGCAAGGACTCCCCTGGGGATTCAGCACAACCTGGTAGATTCAGTGGAGGCAGGTCCAGTCCCCTCCTCCCAGGCTGGGCAAAGTATCCCTGCATAAGCCCCAGGTTTCAAACAGCCAGCTCATGCACTAAGGACAGGTCCTGGTCCCACTACCTGGGTGCCTCCCAAACAGTTCAAGCTAATCAACTGTCTCACTTATCCAGAGGGCCTGAGAAGAATTTTTTAAAAAAGTATTTTCTACATTGTGCCAAGTAAACCTCTTCAATTTGATCATGAAGCTAACCTTACAAAATCTTGACAATAATCAAATGGTCTCTAGGAGAGAGACTAAGAGCAAATGCACAAAGATGCCATCTCAGAGGAAGCTCTACTCACTATTGGATTTGCATGAAGCTATTCTAGTCTTAAACATTTGTTTCTAATGTGCCACCCAGAACATATAACTAAAGACATCAATCTAATCATTACACACCTAATTATACAATCAATAATAAAAGTCCTCAGGAATGTTCTCATCAATCTCTGGTGACAGACTTTTGCCAAGGACATGAGCAACTGTGCCCCGGAGGGCTACTTTAGAATGGGATGATACTCGTTTTGCAATAGTAACAACCTTCAGACTGTAGCACCTGGTGGAACTTTACCTTAGGCGTCTCAAACACTTGTTCCAGATGGATGATGTGTTTATGGTTGACACTCTTTAGGATGTTCACCTCCCGCTCAAGTAACTTCACGGCGGAGCTTCCAGCCTTAACGAAGAAACAGATTGCACGTGGGAATGCCATGCCTCCTTTCCTCAGTATGAAAGTTAGCTATTTTATGCCTTTTCCTACAGTTCTGTACAGTATCTTTCTTAAATGATACCATGCAGTTTATCCCATAATCAGATCAAATTATGCCTCTTCTTTCCCTTGTCCAATTTCAAGTTGTATTTCATTTGGCCTCAATCTCTTGAACTGTTTCCATAAATTAGCTACAACATGGTCTCTGACCCCTCACAAATTTTAGCATACCTTTTTAATATTTCATTTCCTTCCATCACAGTGATCTTTTCACATTAGCATAACAATCTTCTAGGGATATCAGATAGCTTTATAACAGAAAATTTTTCTTTTGTTGTCTTGCTTTGATTTTGTTTATATGTATACTAAACAGAATAAATATTATATTTTCATACATATACACACACCGCAGGCAATGGGATCTTGTATTTAACTTGTATGTGTTACTTTTTGGTCTCCCTGGTTAACTGAGGAGACAGAGAGACAGAGACCTTGCCTTCAGACTAATCCAACAGCAGCTGTGTCTCCTAACATCTAATCCTTACCATGCCTGGGACAAAAGGTCAAATGAAGAGATCTCCAGGGAACACATGGATGTCCTTCAAATGTAGGTAAGATTGTCTAATCATGTAGAAAATTCTAGGGTGCTCCCCTGCTACTGAACTTGCCATTACCTTATAATAAATATTCTCCTCTTTTATTTTTTGTCTTTTTTTAACAGAAAAATATTCTTGAAAGAGGTAACAAAGGACTTATTTCTGCAAACACCTTTAGCCCCCAATTTGGGAAAGTACAGAAGGGTTCTTAAGGAAACAGACTGACCATAAGGCAAACATTTTTTAGTTAAAATTTTACTTAGGGCCATTCCTGCTTCCAATTCCCTTTCCTGTTTACCCTTCACCATCTTTGAGTGAGGAGGACACTGGCCACTCTGCTGCAGCCCCATCTTTGAGTGAGGAGGACCCTGGCCACTCTGCTGCAGCCCCATCTTTGAGTGAGGAGGACCCTGGCCACTCTGCTGCAGCCCACCCGAGTAGGATAAAAGCACATTTTAAGCTTAGCCTAGAGCTCAGAGAAACAGTGGCCATGAGGAGGGAACTCCTGTGAAGAGCAAGCAGTTCTGTACAGTTAGCACGACCTCCAGCTACTCATCTCAATTCTGTTCCTGCTCTTTCCCCACATGGCTTGACCTGTATGTGCTGTAACCATACACTGTCCAGTTCCTGATCACTGGATCACTGATCACAGGATCACTTGATTTGGTTACTTTAGTATACTGTACTCCCAGTATCAGTATGGGAGTGACAGAGTAACTCCTAAAGTTCCAAATACAAATCCCCAGACTGAACCTTTAGCCCTGACAATGAAAAAGCAAAGAAATGGCATGCCAGGTAGCTCTGTGGTGTGCTACCTTGAGTTCAAAAGATTGTAAAAGATGCTACAAAGGCCCTTAATTGCTTTATTAAAGCTGGTATGTCACCTCATTAAACTTGGAAATTTGCTATAATTACCAAAAAAAACATATATAGGCTACTGCTTAATTTTATAGATCCAATACTTGTTATCACAAATCCAAGAAGAAAACACCATAATGGTGTCATTTTGCTTCTTTATCCAGATGGAATTTTTAAAAAGTTGATGAGCTCATGTAAAGTTTGAGATCTTAGATGCTGCCTTAAGGAGAAGCCCAGTCCCCTGCCAACAAGTAACAGAGAGGGGTACAGCAGACACACAGGGACAATAGACTGGATTGGAGGGGGGATTGGCCAGTAGTAAGGAAAGAGAATTAAATGAGACAACAGAAGAAAAGTATATCAAATAATTTAGGAGGGGCAACAGGATTTACTTGCAACTGAGCACCAGTTCTGACTTCAGATTCACTCCTGAAGTTTACATATTTGGTTATACTGGTTGTGGTGATGCTTTTGCCTTTTCCAGACAACACACGTCTACCTGAGTGCAGGAACCAGTCCCTTCACAGGAGACTAGAGCAGTTAGCCCAGCCCTGGCCCTCAGGGGAAGACACAACTTGGGTTAGTATGGAAAGCTGCACTGCCCACTCTTACCCCCACCCTAGCACTGGACCCTGAGGGTTGCACTGGGAAAGAAGCCTTACCTTTTCTTTATTCACTTTCTTAATTGCCCACTTAGCTCCTGTTTCCTTGTCTGTAACTTCACTGACCATTCCAAAGCTCCCCTGTCCCAATATTCTTCCGAAGGTATAGAATTCCTGGAGACAAAACAAGAGTTCCTCTGTCTCTGTGGCATTCATCAGGCATTAGAAATGAATACACAAGCCAGGTGTGGTGGCACACTCCTTTAAGGCAGGTGAATCTCTGTGAGTTCAAGGCCAGCCTGGGCTACCATGTGAGTTCCAGGACAGGCTCCAAAGCTACACAAATAAACCCTGTCTCAAAAAACCAAAAAGAAAAAAAAATGAACACACATTACTGAAAGATATCCACTCAAGGGAGGAAGAATTCTGCTCTAGGATAAAATCAAACAGAGGCACTATTATGTATTTGCTTCGGTAGTAACCAATACATCTTAACTAGCCACAGTCAAATTTCAATGGCTTTTAATAATTGTTTACTTTTTGCAAGAAAACTACAAAAGTTCTAATGGCAAAATGTGGAAAAGTTAAAAAATACAGAAATTGAGTTCTTTCAATCTACACATTATAAAGTAATGCTAATATAAAATTTCATAATAAAATGAAATATTTTCATAAGGAAAAAAGTGAAATATTAATGTATGTATGAACTTGATGCATAAACAATACATTCAGCAAAAGTTCACCCCAAAACTCTGAGAGTCACACTATGAAATCAATACCAATAACCACCAGACAGGCTGGGATGTCGCTCAATGGTTGAGTATGTGTCTGTCATGCACAGGGCCCTGAGTTTTATCCTAAAACAATGAACAAGTGCCTCCTTCTCTACCTAAAAGTTCATTTTAATCTCCTTTATCTCTGTGTTAGTTTTCTTGCCTTATTCGTTTTATTTTAGAAAAAAATAAAAAATTAATAAAAATTAGAAGCAAGAAGAAAATATACTATCCATGATACTATTATCTAAACCAGTGGTTCTCAACCTTCCTAATGCTGCAAACCTTTAATACAGTCCCTCACGTTGTGGTGACCCCCAACCATAAAATTATTTTATTGCTACTTCATGACTAATTTTGCTACTGCCATGAATTGCAATATAACTATCTAATAAGCAACCCTAAATGGGCTGTGACCCACAGGTTGAGAACCATTGATCTAAACCAAAACTCTTTCTGACTTGTCATCTAACTTTGGTTTACAAACAGGGAATGAACTGGTTTGGCCAACAGCACTGTTCTGGTCACAGTGCCAAATAAAAACCACACAACTCCCTACATTTTCACTTCTTGGGGATTGGCAGGAGTCAGATTCTGTGATGCAAATCATCAGCAGAGTACTGATGAGTTTCTGAACCCATCACACACAGGGGCTAACACATGGGTGTCAGAGCTGAGTCAGAGCTGCCAGGGGCAGCTTCTGTGGGGTCAGACAGCCCAAGCCTCCCCTAAGAGATTCCACTCTAACTCTGGGTGGTCACCTTCACCTGCACCATGAAACAGGCACTGCTCTGCTCACACTTCCTTCTCCTTTCATTTCTGTCTTGCTTTTCTAGACGACTGAGTGCCCCAGAAGCGCTTCCCTGCTGAGCTGCACCACAGTGACTGTCCCTTTATTTTTACTCAGCATGATGACTGGTCCCCAAACACTACTACCACTTTCTTGCTTATTCTGGCTCATTTTGAATTCTAAGATGGCTGCTTATGGAAAAATTATTCTTTTGTGTCTTTTAAAAACCTCATCCCTTCTTCTTCCCTGATACCATATAATAGCATAGCAGTGAGAATGAAAGTCAGAAAACTTAATTAGTTCCAAAAACAAAGACATTTAAATTGTGTTCATTTACATGCAGCTGCTACCTATGCTTTATAGATTATATCTTCAATAAAATGATTATTTGCCTGGATTTTTTTTCTTCAGAACAAAATCATATTTATTGTTTCTTTCCAAATTTCCCCCCCTAAAACCTAAACTTTTATCTCTCTCTAAACATACAGAACCATAACTTGGATAGAGTATTATAACACTGGTCTAAGTCAAATGTTTAAAGTAGAGAATATCCAATTATATTTTATAATTTAATTTTTTGTTCAACTAACTGCTTGATATATCATCCCAAAATGATGAAAATAAAAAAGAAATGACTTCTGATCTCTACTAATTTTAAAGGAATGGGATAAAAATGGTATTTTAGAAAGGTTTGCATTGACACAGGAAATTGTAATAGTGTAGAACATAAAAAGCACATGTAGCCTGATCCCTTGGTAAATATGGGTCTATGTGGAGGTGTTGATGCTGATGTCTAGAAGGATATGTAAATATAAAGAAAAGCTACAGGCAAAATCCTGAACAACTGTAACTTTGTTCATTATTCTCAAAGTATTTACAGTGAGCCTGTCAACAGGGAAGAAGCTTAAACTTCAACTCTCCTATTGAAGGCTATTTCTCTAAAGTGTACATAAGCTTAAATATTGTACCATTTCATAAAGAGAAATAGGATAAAATGAAGCAATGGTGAATATTAAACGGGTCATCTCTAACCTACATCTACATTTTCACAATGAACACATTTTGCTTTTAGAAAGGTTCTTATGGCTAACTTTAAAAGTTGGTAAATTTGTATATTGCTTTAATACAGTACTTTTATTTCAGAAAAGGCTTATACTTTGCAAGTCAAATGTTTCAGGTTTTCCTAATAACTTCAAATAAATTAACAAAATAATTTTTAAAGTTATATAATACTTATGCAATGTTTCTTATTATTCTTTTCATAGCTCCTTGGATCACATTTTAAAGGGACATGTTTTAATTTTCAAGTAGTTATATTTCCTTCTTTCTTTTTTGCCTTTTTTCTTATGTGTAACATGTTCGCGCATGTGGGTGTGCATGCACATGCGTTTGAGAGTGGGTGGAGGCCAGAGGACAACACCAGGTGTCTTTTTCAATCATTTTCCACCTTATTTTTTGAGACAAGGTTCTCACTGAACCTGGCAGCCGGTTAGTGCCTGTCTCCTCTTCCCCAGCACTGGGACTACAGGTGTCACTGTACCCCCACTTTCTACACAGGTGTCACTGTACCCCCACTTTCTATACAGGTGCCAGGGATCCAAATTCTGATCCTCATGCTTGCCCTGCATTTCCTTTAGAAAAACTTCAATGTGCTTAAAATTTTTACTATGGTCTTTACTTCCTTTCCTCAGAGACTGTTTTCAATTGTCTCAGCTCTGTCACAAACCACTGGCTTCAAGGAAACCTGAAAGAAAGTTCAGGTCTGCTGTGTCTTTATCCTTGGAGTCATCCATCCCCTCTGGCTCTTACAATCCTCTGCCTCCTCTTCCACATAGATCCCTGAGCCATAAAGGGAGGGGTTTAATGAAGACATCATATTTAGAACTAAGTGCTCTGAAGTATCTCAGCACAATGTGCAGTCATGGGTCTCTGTGCTAATTCCCATATACTGCAGGAAGCTTCCCTGATGAGGGTGGGACAAGACACTGGTCTATGGGTATAACTTTATGTCATTTGAAGTCATTTTATTGCTATGTTCCTTTAGCAGAATAATAGTGTTAGATTTCCCCAGGGCCTGTGGCCTAGCTAGTCTTAGGTTCACATGTGAATTCACAGAGACTGTGACAGCACTCATAAGACCTGCACAGGTTCAAGCCAGAGAGGTCCCAGCACTGAGAGGGAGGAATGGACATGGAGTTCACCCCTAACCAAGAAGTTATTTGCAATTGATACCTGCTGACAAAGGGAAAATCAGTTTCTCCAATCCAGTGTCACTGAGTGTATCAACCACATTCCAGGACAGGCCCTTGCCCAGGAGTACTTGGCCAAGACAAAATGGACTCCATGGTTTTTGTTTGTTTTGCTGTTTGTGGTTTTTTATTTGTTTGTGTGTGTGTGTGTGTGTGTGTGCGCGCGCGCGCGCGCGCTTTTCATATCGTTTTTGGCATTTTTGTCTTTTTTTGTCTTCTACTTGTTTATTTTTGGTTTTGTGTTTTTGTGGGGATTTTACTTGTTTTATTTTGAAAGAGAGAGAGAGAAAGAAGATAAAGTTGTGTGGGTAAGAAGTGGGAAGGATCTGGGAGGAATTGGGGGAGAGGAAAATATGATCAAAATATATCGTGAAAAGTTTTTAATTGAAATGAGTAAATGTTGTTAAAAAGATGAAAGATAAAAACAAAATTTTAAAAAGAAGAGAGCTGACCATCTCTAGTAGCCTCAGCTTGCTCCCGCATACCTCGATATCTGCTCCATTGTCCATTCTGACGTGCAGCACTTTCCCTTCTGTGACGTTGCTCCGACTCCACTGTGGCTGAGAGCTTTTCCTCTCCAGGTTTGAAGTTCTTGTGGTCTAGGACCAAAAGGGAATTATGAAAAATAACTCTTAAGATGTAACATTCTTATTAATGATGCACTCTAATTGTGATCAGCCTGAATGGATACCAGAGTCTTTACTGTATACAAAATCGTTTACTGTCTTTCAGATCCAGAGTGCAGTGCCAGTCACTGGCACATTAGGCTGAAGAAGACCTTCAGGTGAGTGTGCAAGTGTCAGAGGGTTCAGGTGAAGAATGAGGGCCTGGCTTGTCCTAAACTTCTGTTTCCTGTCACCAAAATTGTGCTAGATTAAATACAGCATTCTACTATGCTCTTCATACCCATAAATACAGTCAAATTAGTTTGATTAGAAATCCCACATTATTTGAAAATCATGTGACCCAACCTTGCAAAGTATATTTTATATTTGAGATTGATAACTAGAGCTTCATTTTAGATAATGAAGCCACAATGACACTTGAACCTTTGTCATAAATCTCTCTATCAGTTGAAGAAAACTATCAAAAAGTCCTATTTGGTTAAATTTGAAAAAGAAGTTTAACCAGCTGTATTCCAGCTCTTAAAAGCTGTATAAACAGCTTTTAAGAGCTGGAATAATAATGTTAGTTGTTTGGGATCCTAAGAAATAATTTTGACAGTGACTGAAAGTATCATAAAACACGTAACTAACCAACTTTGCTCATCTCTGCTGTGGGAAGCAAATAGTTCTTTAAGAACTTTAAGAAGCCAATGAATTAGCTGACAAGGGCTCATGGGACAAGGAAGAACCTAGGGATGGGAATGAAGAACGGGCTGTCAGTTTGTGTAGTAGAATCTTCAATATTTACCAAATCTTTCACAGAAGGTTCTCTGCTGGTATTTCTTTCTTTTTTTCTCTCTTGTGTAGTAAAATTGTCTGTACTACCAATACTCGATGTCTGTGACATTTCTACCACCAAAACTGGAGAGTTGACTGTTGAACACACACAAAGGAGATCAGCCTGAGAAGATGCACAGTGGGGGCACTGTGAAGGTATTTCATCCAAGCCATGGTCAGCCATTTGCTTAAATTTATAACAAAAATAACTTGAAAGAGATGTTTCCACTTCGTGAGAAAGAAAACCAGGTCAAAGGGATGTGATAGACTGCTGGTAAGAAACGACTTCTGGTCAACAAGGTCCTTGGACTAATGAGGCACTATGCTTCACGCATGAGAGCTGTGGGCAGAAAAGAAGGCACCATTCAGCAAACTCTTACCACCTTCCTGACAATCACAGGAAAATTAGCAGCTAGAACCAAAATACTCCACCAAGAAAAGTTCATACTGAAAAGAAAATTGGACTATAACATGGTTACAACCAGCAACAATAAGCCTAGCTTAGTATTTCTTAAGGTGAACTATTGCTTTAAAAATCTAAAAATACGCCGGGCGGTGGTGGCGCACGCCTTTAATCCCAGCACTCGGGAGGCAGAGCCAGGCGGATCTCTGTGAGTTCGAGGCCAGCCTGGGCTACCAAGTGAGTTCCAGGAAAGGCGCAAAGCTACACAGAGAAACCCTGTCTCGAAAAACCAAAAAAAAAAAAAAATCTAAAAATACTAGTGTAGAACAAACATATTGCTGTGATTTCATGATTTAAGCTTTAGCCTACTAGCTAATGGTCTCAGAGCAAATATCTCTTATACACTTCACTAAAAGAAGGAATAGTTTGATTTTATAAAGCTATCTAATTGTTAAAGTTCAAAGGCAATATTAAAAGTAGTCTCACTTTTAGAGGGGAATAAATGGGTACAAGTTTTTTTCTCGAGTTTAGTATTGTTATGTACAGAATTTTACCAAACTAGGCTCACTGGTTGTATGGAAGCAAACTGGAAAGATCTGAGCTGAAGAAGGAAGAAAGAATGTACACATTTGGAGAATGCCTTGGGAAATCTGCAGAAGCAACAAGGAGCATATTATTGTCTTTATGGCATCCAAGTCCAGATACTTTTAAAAGCATGTTTTATAGATAGCTTCACCTGGCTTGGAGGTATAAAATATACTTTCATCCTCTGAAGTGGAATAAACTTGTTAGCATAGGAAATTAAATATCCTTATTTTGCTAAAGAAATGTATTTCTAGTCTTAGATACCTAGGACCAGTTGTTTATTTTTATTAATTAAAATTGTTCTTTGACAATTTCATACAAAGAGAGAGAGAGAGAGAGAGAGAGAGAGAGAGAGAGAGAGAGAGAGAGAGAGAACAATCTTACAAATGCTTGACTTTGTTTTTCAAGTACATGAATCAAGACAAAGATAATTTGGAATATTCCTTCATACATTTTATGATTGAACTTTGGGTCTAGAAGAAAATGCTTTGTATTGCAGGATAAGTATAAAACCTGTAACCATCAATGACTCAGAGCAAAGGAATAGATCTGCAAATAACAGCCTTTATGTTCAGGGCAAATAGTACTTTTCCTTGGCAGGTGTAGAAAAGTCCCATGTCAAATGCATAAGGCATCGTTCAATGGATGTGTTAGCAATAATGATGCTATGGCACTTTTTTCTTTAACAGTGAGCAGAAATTTTTTATAAAAACCGTAAGATGTATTCATAGTGTAAAGGCCAATTTAAAATGTAGTTGAGTTTCTTCACTATAAACACTACTCCTAAAGCATGTTCTCAAGGGTGAGGAGATGGCTCAGGGGGAAAGTGCTTGCTGCGCAGGCATGAGGACCTGAGTTCAGATCCTCAGCACCCCAAGCCAGGTAAGCCTGGTGCTATGGGGGAGGTAGAGACAGGTGGAGCCCCAGAGCTCACTGGCCTGACAGGCTAGCCCCGTGAGTAATAGCCTACTCAGGTTCAGTGAAAGATCCTGTCTCAAAACAAAGTGGAAAGCAACTGAGGAATATACCATGTGCAACACACACACACACACACACGCGCGCGCGCGCGCGCGAGAGAGAGAGAGAGAGAGAGAGAGAGACAGAGAGACAGAGACAGAGACAGAGAGACAAAGACAGAGAGAGAGAGAGAGAGAATTTAAAAACCATACATATTCACAGATTTTCAACAGAATCCATAAACAACATACTCCATCCCTGCTACTAAGTTAGAAGGGTTTGATGTACCCTAACACCCTTATCAGGTGTGTGGTTTGTAACCATTTTCCCTGTGGTGATTGTTTCCTATTGACAGAAGCTTTAGTGTAATGTCATCTTATTTCCAAACAGTCACTTCCGAGGCCAGTGGCAAGGAGCTTCCCTCTACATTCTCTTCTACATGTTTCACAGCTTAGGACTCATGTTTAGATGTGCTGTACCTTGCAAACTGATTGTTGTGAAACATGTAAGGGTCAAATTTCATTTGCATGCAAATATCTAGTTTTCTCAGCTTCATTTATTGAAGAGACTATCCATTTCCCCATATTGTCCTTGCCAAAACTTAGTTGACTATATTTGTCAAGGTTTATTTCTTGGATATTGATTCTGTTCCACCGCTCTGCCTGTTTTTATGTCAAGAAGCTGCTGTTTTGATTACTATAAATTTTTTACTACATTTTTTAAGTAAAAAATGCCTCTCCTAACTCTGATTTTCTTGTTTGGTTCTTATTAGTATTTCCAGAACTAGGTTGAACAGAAACAGTGAGAGTGGGCTGGTTAGATGATTCAGCCAGTAACTCCTGGTAACCTGAGTTTGGTTCTCAGGACCCATGTAAAGGTGAAAGAACTCTACAAAGTTGTCTTCTGATATCCAAAGGCAAACTGTGGCATGTGCATCCCACATACCTCCCCACCCTTTCTCTCTGTCTCTGCCTCTTTCCTGTGTGTGTGTGTGTGTGTGTGTGTGTGTGTGTGTGTGTGTGTGTGTCTGTCTGTCTGTCTGTCTGTCTGTCACTCTCTCTTTCTCTCTTCCACACACATATACATACTCTAATAAAATAAAATTTAATTTATAAAATAGGGAGAGTGAACATCCCTGCCTTGCACTTCATTTGAATGGAAAAGTACTGTTGCTTCACCCTGATCACATCAACTGTAGTGTCTTCATGCCTTTCCTATGCTGAAAAGCTTTCCTTCTGTACCTGAACTGTTAAAAATTTTTATCCAGAAAGAATGATGAACATTTGCCAAATGCTTTTTCTATATCAATGTAGATGATGCTGTGGTTTTTTAATTTTCCTATGTCAATGTGGCAGATCATAGTGACTGGTCTGAAAATGTTAATCTAGCCTTTCATGCAAAGGTGACTCCCACTTGGTCATCATGTATGTGTTGCTAAGTTCAGTTAGTAACGTTTTAGTGAGGATTTTTTTGCATTGTATTTAGAGACAGTGACTTACAGTTTTTGTTTGTTTGTTTGTTTTTTGTTTTGTCTAGCTTAGGTGTGAAGGTGATCTTGGCCTTATAAAATGTACTTAAAGGTATTCGGTTTGTTTTTTTTTTAAGAGTTTAAGAAACAATGGCAATCAGGCTTGGTTCCAGCACTGAGAGGGGGAAGTGGACATGGAGTCCCATTCATAACCAAGAAACTATTTGCAATTGATACCCACTGGCAAAAGGAAAATTAGCTGTCTTGAATGGAGTGACACTGAGTGTATCAAGCCCACTCCAGGGGAGGCCCTATGCACAGAGATAGTTGACCAACACAAATGAACTCATGGTTTTTCTGTGGACTTTTTGTTTCATTCTGCTTTCTTTTGTCATATTGGTCTTTCATTTGTTAGTTTTTATTTTTATTTTTGTGGTTTTGGGGAGCCATTTGAAAGGGAGAAAAAACAAAGTTGAGTTGGTAGGGAGGTGGGAGAAGCTGGGAGAGGGGAAAACATAATAACATAATCAAAATATATGAAACAGATTTTTAAATAAAAAAAACATTGGCTATGTTTTTTCAGTGTTTGGTAGAATTTAGGTATGAAGTTAACTGGTCCTAGGTCTATCTTTTTGAAAGGTTTTTTTTTTATTATTTGTTCAATACCTTTGTTTTAACCCAATTTAAAAATGAGTAAAAAAAAAAACCTTAAAAAAACAAAAAGACATAAAAATTGCTAACAGGTATATGAAAAGATACTCAACATCAATAATTAAAAGAAAACAGAAATAAAAACACAATGAGCTATCATTCTACACCTATGTGAAATGCAATAGTATGGACATGCAATGTCTATTTGGGTGGTTAAGGAAACATATGAGAAGGGGCTGAGAGAAGGAGGACAAAGAGAATGGGTCTTGGCTGCTTCCTGTCCCATTCCCTGTTATCTGTCTCCTACGATGCACACCGCTGTCTTCCATAACATGATGCTTTTGCCCAAATACATGGAGACAAGAAATTATGGACCAAACCCTCTGAAACCATGAGCTAAAATAAATGTTTCTTCCCCGAACTGTCCTGCCAGATATGTTGGCCACAGCAACACAAAGCTAACTAATACAATCCATAAAGATAACCAGTATTTAAAACAAACCAACAAAAAACATTAAAAGGTTAGTTAGGGAAATGACTCAGTTAGTAAACCTGAGTTGGAGACTTGAGTTCAATGAACCCAAATGAAAATGCTGGCATGGTATCAGGTCTGTAATCACAGAGCTGGAGAGGCAGAGACAAAAGGATCCCTGGGGCTCAGTGACCAGCCAGTCTAGACTAACTGGTGAGTTCCAGACCATTGAAAGTCCCTGTCTAAAAGGAAGAGGATGGTGTTCCTAAGGATGACAACTGAGTGTCTTCTGGCCTTTGTGCTCATGCAAACTCAATATACAAAGATATGTGCACACATCTATCTATATGCATTTGTTTAAGGCAAGCAGTAACAAATCCTGCTGAGGATGTACAGAGGACTGAACCCTAGTACACCACTGGTGCAAATACAGACTGGTACATGCGGTATGACAATGAAGTTTCTAAAGAAATTAAAAATAGAACTATCATACAAGTCAGCAATTGCAGTGTCTCCATAGAGGGTGAGATCGCCAGCTCCTAATGATTCCTACTGACTCTGCACTCCATGATACTGTAACGTTATTCACAATAGCCAAGAAGTGAACAAACCAAATGCCTTTGGATAGACAAAAGGGTAAAAAATGTGATATGTGGATATAATTCCTCTTTTAAGAAGGAAATCCTGCCGTTTGCACAACATGGGTGGATCCAGAAGATGGTTTACTAGGTGAAATAAGGCAAACACAAATCCTGCCCGTACACATGCAGTGAAAAGCCAAAAGATCTCAGATATAAGGTGGAA